TACTTCTACATACTGCATTATACTTCTACATACTGCATTATACTTCTACATACTTCTACATACTTCTACATACTTCTATGTACTTCTATGTACTTCTATGAATATGTGTGCGTATGTGTGTGTGTGCGTGTGTGCGTGCGAGGTATGATACGGTGCAGTTTGACGAGGTATGTGTACACTTGTTGCAGGTGGCGGAGGATTCGTTATATATATATATATATATGTATATATGATAGGGATTTAAGCTGGCGTCTGACTGTTCTGAATGTTGTGCTGGTCTGAGCGCTGCGTCGCCCATTGCCTGCTGCGTGCCTTAGTCGGCTGCGCTGGCTTGGGCGCCACCATATATATACATATGCATTTATATGCATTTATTTATTTAATTAATAATCTATTTAATTATTTAATCGCTTGTTGCAGGTGGTTGCATCGGTTGAGGACATTTATTATTACATTATATATTTATATTTATATGTATATATTTATATAAAATTATTTCATAATTGAATAATTGAATTCATTGGTGCAGGTGGCTGCATCTGCGGAGGATGACCTCGTGCATATGATGGCGGGCGCAAACAGGTACTTGAGTTTAATTATTTAATTATTTAATTGATTAATTGATTATTTAATTACTTACTTATGATGGCGGGCACGAACAGGTAATCGAATATATCTGTCAGTTTCGAATTCAATTGAATTGTGTCACTTCTCAGACCGCCGCCACACCGCTAGCCAGAGTCCCCCTGCATTCATATAGTATTACATGTTATGATGGCATGCCTGTACGCCTTCGGGCTGCAAGTCGGGGGGCGTTGAAATAACTAAAACAAAAACAGAAACTAAAACATACCTCGTGTGGCTGCGTGTGCACGATGGCGGACGCGAGCAGTTTTTATATATATATATATAATATATTGACTGATCATACTATTTAGCGCGCTCCTGGAGACCATTTATATGTTGTGGTAATAATGATAAAAATATTTAATAATAAGAAGAACAAGAAGAATAACAAGAAGAATAAGAAGAAAAATACAACAATAATAATAATGATAACTTTTAATAATCTCAATAACAATAACAATAACAATAACAATAACAATAATAACAACAACAACAACAAAAATAACAATTAATAATAACAATCATCAACATCATCATTATCATCATCATCATCACAATAACAATAACAATAAATGCATCAACAATAATAATAAAAGCGCTCTCTTGGAGGCTGGCTGCGCGCTGGGCGGCGGGCATACGTCGGAGGGGGGGGACGCAGGACTCGGTGCGTGAGTTCTTGTAACTTGACACACCGCCAGCCAGAATCCCCCTACATGAATATAAATAGTCTAATGATAACAATCATCATTATCATCTAATTTAAATGTGGCAATTACACGTGGGGGGGGGGGACGCAGGACTCGGTACGTGAACAAATC